AGAGAGAGAGAGAGAGAGAGAGAGAGAGAGAGAGGGAAGTCATACATCAATTATAGGAGAGGCAATGGACCTGAACCGAACCGGCGACCCGATGGCTATATTTGACCCGGCGGCTATACGCGACCTCGGTCTGGGTATAGATTTAAAAATTGGATCTGGCTGGTCGGGTCCAGGTCCAACAATACTATTTGGGTCTGGATCCGGGTCTAGTTGGATTCGAATTCGGGCTTTATATTTCCCAATTTATGAAAATATATTAAGATACATTTAAATACATAGATATTTTAAATTTTGAGTCTGGTCTGGTCGGATCCAGGTCCAAATCTGGATCCCACATTATATTTTCAACCCAACTTGTGGTTTGATAAACCGAGTGAACCTGTCATCCTGAAATCTAGTCTAGACCAGCGAATCGAGCGGATTATCTAGTGTGAGAGTTTGTCAAATACAAAAGGGAAAAAAGAAATAATAGATGAATAAAATAATAAAAATAAAAATTTGGGAATTAGGCGATTTCAAGGAAGCCGGACCGATTCCCTGTTTTCCATATGGAATTGAGTTAGTTTGCACCGGTTTGTGTTCCGAATCAGTTATTCCGTATCCGGATCACCAATGTTTTAGGCATGGTTGCGACTTAAATAAACCAAGAATAGTAGTGGAGAGAGAGAGAGATAGAGAGAGGGCAATGTTGAGAGAGAGAGAGAGAGAGAGAGAAAAGGGGAGGGGGCAATGTTAAAAAACCCAGGACTAATAGTCGTAGTTCAAATATGGTACCGCAGGCTTCTTTGTTTTTTTGTTTTTTGGTAGATACCGCAGGCCTCATTCATTGCATTCAACATATGAATAATAATATGGGACCGCAAGCCCCATTCCTGGTCTTCATTTCAAGGAACGAACTTATTGGACAATGTTAATTAAAGTTCCAAAAACCACTTTAGGATGATTTTTAGGACCTGAAAATTTTCAAATTCACCACGTGATCAATTCAATAAAACAAAATTGATTTTGGATACTCATTTTTTTGGGTGGGGTGTGGCATGTAGAAGGCTAAGGCCCTAAACAATACCTTAAAATAGTGTCAAAAGATGTTGTTTCAGTATCGAAAATCTTTATGATGCCCGGTAATTTACTTTCATCTCTAGTTATAAAATTAAAGCATAAAAAAAGGTATGGATCAAGCGGATCTATGAATAGTTGAAAATCTTGAAAATTAACGGTCTAAATAATGCATTACAAGATGCATTGCTTCTAAGAATTGAAATCCATATTTTTTTACGTCCATGTATCTTAAGGTCGAGATGATCGGGTTTTAGAGTTTTTCGACAACAAAAGAAACTTCTTATGATGAATTTTGAGGTGCGACTTAGTTTGAACTAACAATTGAAAATAAAAAATTGAACTAGCTATTGAAAATAAAAAATTGAAAATAAAAAATTGAACTAGCTATTGAAAATAAAAAATTGAACTAGCTATTGAAAATAAAAAGTTGAAAAAAGAAGAAGTAGGGCTAGTTCTCCGGTAGAACTGGCCGTGTCAAGGAGGAATCAGCTAGTTATCAAAATTTTTCAGAAACTAACTAGTTATTAAAAATAAAAAATTGAAAAAATAAATAAAAAAAAAAGTATGACCGTTCTCTGAAAAGAACCGGCTGTGTCAAGGGGAACTAGCAAGTTCTCGATATTTTTTAGGATCTAAATTCAGTGTTTAAAATTCCCAATCTAGACCAGCCAGTTCCTATCCAAATTGATATTCTTGCAACCATTACTTCTACAAGTAAAGTTCCAAGTCGAGCTAGTTGTGGAGGCGTCATCAGACAGGATGATGGGTCATTTGTTGTTGTTTTTTCGGTTCCTCTTGGAATTGCGTCCAATAATTATGCAAAATTTCGAGGTTTACAAAAAGGTGTTGATTTAGCCTTTCAAATGGACTGCTTTCCCTTCAAATTGAAAGTGATTTTTCTTTATTTGTCTAGGTCATTAAAGGCAGGTGTAAAGCTTCTTGGGCTCTTCATGCCATAATTATTAACTGCAAGCTTAAACTTCATAATCAATCATGATCCACTTTTTATGTTTATCGTTAGACTAATATGGTGGCCAATGTTCTTACTAAAAAGGCTACAGTTTTTACGGAGACCACCATTTGGTACTCTAGGCCCCTCGATTTTCTTAACCTTCTTTTACTTCACGATGTGATGCAATTATCCTATTGTACAGTTGTAAAAGCGTATGATGTAATTTTTTCTATCTTTTATTAATAAAAAACGGGCAAAAGCCTTCTCCCTCACTCATTTACCCAAAAAACAAAAAAAAGTTCTGACCTCAAATAAACTTCACACCCTTGTTATTTTGTAGGGAAAAGTTTATATAGAGCCGAAGCTCTAAACAATCAAGCATACCTCAAAAATTTCATATTTTCCAAGTATTCATAGATCTTTCGATTTACACTATTTTTGAAGTTTTAAGCTTTATAAATAAATATAAAAATATATTTTAAAGCTATCACAAAGATTTCTCATAAACCACATTTCTTGATAGTATTTGAAGGTGGGCTCTAATTTGATTGTTTAGAGCCTAGGCTCTATACAAACCGCATACTATTTTTTAACGTCCTTTCGGGACTCACGCATCTTGGCGCTTTCATCAACATCATGTGGAAGAGGCCCGTCCATACAAAATCCAATCGTAAGAGAGAGAAAGGAAGAGAGGTCCAAACTTAGAGAGAGATTTTTTACCATTTCCATGTTATCAAAATTCAATAGTAAATTAGAAAGGTAGAGTAGAGAGAAAGGGAATTCTCCCTCTCTAATATAGAAAACAATCATTCACCAATTAAAAACTCCCAAACAAACTAAATCAATGCCCACAACCCAATTCCTTGCAATCCCATCTCTCCACTTTCTCTTTAAAATCTAAACCTCAAGAGAAAGAGGGAGCTCTATCTAAGCGACTTTTGAGGAGTGCTCAGCCTAGGCTTAGGCCTCGGCCTGAGCCGAGTATTTAGCTCAAGTTCAAGTAATTCAATCTGAGTTGGGCTAAGTTTTGGCCAAAGCCAAAAAATGTCAAAAAATAAAAATATTTAAAAAAATAAAAATATCTTTAAACTAAAATTAAATAAAACAAATCTAAATGAATTAGTATGAATGAAGTTTCTACAAGGCCTGGGTGTTATCAAACAAAATAAAGCTCCACTTCAAATCCTTGTTCAGAAAGCACTTTCGGTAATAGAAATCTTCATGATGGCTCTAAAATAAATCTCCAACACTGGCAATAAAAGTTTGAAATTAAAAAATATACAGAACTTGTGGCTCTATGAACACTTTTTTATAGTGCTAAATAGACGGTTTAGATAATTTGTTGCAATATAAGCTATTTTTAAAATTTAAAATCTTTTTTTCTTTATAATCATAATAGTTAAGCTAAGATGACCAACATAAAGACTTTTCAATGCTTTAATTACAATATCCGACGAGTTATGAGCTGATGCTTTACTTACTTTGATTGGGTCGCAGCCCTATCAAATCATTTTCTACTAAATAATAATAGCTCAAACATTTTCTAATCTTTTTCAAAATAATAGAATACTAATAGATATATTTTTTTTTTACTTTTCCAATTTTTTAATTTATTTTAAAATTCCCGAGTTGGATATACTCGGACTCGCCAAATGGCTAGTCTAAGTTACTCGGACGAGTCCACTCTGGCTCGCCCGAATAATCAACACTGTTCCTATATACTATAGAACCATCATTCTCTATAACTCCCAAAACCAATAAATAAACGCTCAACTCCCTGCATGGGACGCCCCATTCTCTTCACCTGCTCTCTTTTTTAAATCTAAAACTCTCCACCTACTTTCTCTCTCTAAAAACTAAATTATTACGGGAGAATACACGATAGAGGGGAGAGACTTCTCTTCGATATAAAAAACAATCATTCTCTCTCTAAAATCTCTCCACTATTTTCTCTTTTTAAAACCTAAAATATTAAGAGTCTCTTTTAATATAAACTTTTTAAAATCTCTCCACCTATTTTCTCTCTCTAAAATCTAAAATATCAAGAGAGAATCCCCTCTAATTTTAAACGTTCTAGTGTTCTAAAATCCACTTATATGGATTCCAAAATCCCTAATCCTAATATGAAATTTGCTTACTATTTTCTCTCTCTAAAATCTAAAATATCAAGAGAGAGTCCCCTCTAATTTTAAACGTTCTAGTGTTCTAAAATCCACTTATATGGATTCCAAAATCCCTAATCCTAATATGAAATTTGCTTAGATCAAATGAGTTTTGAGAAGGTATCGATACCCAACGTTATTATAAAGTTTTTTTAATATTTTTTAAACTTATCTAATATTTTTTCAGATCTTTTTAAATACAAATATGTATTATTTTTATGTTTTATTTTATATTTTTTATTTTTTTTTAATATAACCAATTGGAGCTAATCTAAAATCTGGATCAACGATCAAGGAACCCAAAAATCTATAAGGTTGGCGATCCGTGATCCGAGTTTTTAGATCTCCCATCCCTATCCTGCTAACCCCAAGCTTCCTCCCTCTCTCTCTCTAAAACCTAAAACTTTTAGAAAGGCAAAAGAGACCAATCATTCTACCGATTTCTCTCTCTAATAAAGCTTAAGAGTAAGAGAGACCAATCATTCAATCAACTTCCTCTCTCTAAACCTGAATGGTAAAAGACCAAATCTTTTTACCAACTTTCTCTCTCTAAAACTGAGAACTTAACCTAAAGGAATCATTCACCATTTCAAAACCACAACTAAATCAAACCCACAACCAATCTCTCCACCCACCCTTTCTCTCTCTAAAACCTCTCTCTAAACTCCCAAACCTCAACGTCCCCAAAAACACCCACATTTGGAAGACATCAAATCATTTGAAATCAATAAAAGAACGCTTTCCCTTATAAAGCCAGAAAATAAACAAATAAATAAATAAAATTCGTATAAATGGCAGGAAAAAAAAAAAGAGAAAAAAGGACCCTCCCGAGAAACAGGGGAGCGGGCTCATATGAAGAACATGGGAGCAATCACTAAGAAATTAGGGCTTTTTTCCAACCCCTTTTGTCACCAGTCAAATACGAATTCAAGACCTGGTCTTCTCCATTGTAGCCCTTCACTTCCCTTATCCAGGTACTTTCCTCGCCCTCTCAGATCCCTGATCTCAGAAATTAGGGTTTTTTCTCTGATGATTTTTGTGGATCATCATTGGAATAGGGTTCTCGGGGCGCTTTGGTGCGTGATGGCGAGAATTGCGGGTTTTAGAGTTTTTTCGCGTGGTTTGATTGAAAGTGTGAGGACTCTGTTTGTTTAAGTGTCTGCTAGGAAAATTGATGAAGAATGTGCCTTTCAGAGGATTCTAGGTTTCTTTCTGTGGCTTTTGTTTGTTTTTTTGCTGGTTTTATGTAACTGATTCCAAACATTAAGGCTTTTCAAGGGTAATTACCATGCGGATGATCAGAAGTAGGGTTTTCCGGTCAATTATGGGCAGAAATCAGATTTCCAATTTTTCTTCCAAGTCCTTATAGGTTATGGTGAGATTAAGGTTTCTATACTAGTACTCCCTATTGATCATGGCCGTGCTGGGTTTCCTTAGTCTCTAAATTTTTTGAATTTTTACATCTTAATGTTATTGTTTTAATTCCGGATCACACCTCTTTACAATTGTTTTTTTTTTTTTGAATTATTACTCAATATCGTGTTTCTTATGGGACATATGAGACTTGTTTTATTTCTCTGTACTTTCCGATATTATGGTCCAAATTAGGGTTTTTCTTTGTGAATTCGGCTTTTCCTTTGGTCGTCTCTTAGAACTTCTTACCTGTTGCTTGATTATTAAGTTCATAATTGGATTTTTTTTCTCCTGGTAATTATCATGGATTATGGTTGGAATTGGTTCTTTTTCTCTCTAATGTCAGTTTTAAAACTTTTCCTTTTTGGGATCATTATTAATAGGCGTCAGAGTTTCGGTTTTCTTTGGGTGCATCTCATTGATTCTGCTCAGAAATTTTATTTTCTCCGTATAATCAAAATAACTATTCTCTCCTCCTGCCCCCCTACCCCCACCCCCTCCTGTAGTCGTAACCCTATTATTGATTGGGTTTCTAACTAGCATATTCTCTTCACGGTAGAGTATTAATTTTTTTTTCTTTTTTTGCCCTTTTCTTCTGATTTAATGAAAGGGATTTGACGTTTTGTATACTTTATTATTGGTGGTGCGATCGATAATTGCGGAGATTTAAAAGCTTTATTCTTTCCATTTATTTCTCCACGTTCTCAGAGTCGATATTGAGGAAGATGGCTTTTTCCTTTTTTGTGTTGGGATTTAACGGTTTTTTTTTTTCTGTGTATAAAAATTTTTCATGCTCATTCATCAGAATTAGTTTTTTTTTTTTAATTGAACTGTGTCTTTTTCTTTTGTATTGATCTCTGTGTTACATGTAATCTCCTTTTCTCTTGGTACATACTTTAATTGTTCCATATTTTGCAGATTTTTGTCAATTTTTGGACTGTATCATCTTTCAGAATTTGCAGTGCGAGATTTTTTCTTTCAGGTGCCAAATTATATGCAGTAATAAAAATTGAATCTGGAAGTTGTATAGATGTTTAGATTTATGATTCAGATTCAAAGCTTTTTCGGTAAAGAAATAATAAAATTTGGATAACTTTTGTCCTCGAATTATTTGCAGTAATAAAAATTGAATCTGGAAGTTGTATAGATGTTTAGATTTATAATTCAGGTTCAAAGCGTTCTCTGTAAAGAAATAATAAATTTTGGATGACACTTGTCCTCTATAGAAATCTCTGGATATTTTTTGTTTTCTTGCTCATAGGAAGTGTTTAAGAACTTCAATTTTTTGTACATGTTGCAGAAATGTGTCCTGGACTTGAATTGATTTTGTATTAATTGCTCTGTTTATTTGGAGGCTGTGTTTTTCTCCTCTGCAAAGGTACCCCGGTTGTCTTGTTTTGAAGAAGACGTGCTTCATTACTTTGTTTTCATAACTAGGTTTGGCTTTGTGCAGTGTAATTGAGGCCTTTTTCCTTTGAAGGAATAGATGCGCGACATTTAATCGCCAGTTTTATTGGGGTTCTCCTTTGCAGTCTGGGGCATTTTGGCCTTTGTTTGCTGAATGATCCGACATGTTCTTGAGCATGGTTTTATGTTTCTAGATATTGCCGAATAATGCTTTTTGGCTGGCTTTTTTCCTTTCAAATTTGGTCCGTCCTTTGAGTAGAGGACAAAGTCAATTGCGATAAATTCAACTACATTTAATTGGGTACCCTGATTTGAGGATTATAATTTTCTCATGGAAGCTGGAGAGTTTCATTTTTCACTTCATTCAGACTGTCAACTTTAAATCTGAACATTGAATTGTCTGAGCTTACGTTTCAGTACTGCATCAGCTGCAGGAATTGAATAACGTCATTAAAATAAATGACTTCATTGAATTTTCCGTGTGATGGTGTTGGTTTTCTTAGTCTTTACCCTATGGGGATTTTTTATATTTGGGTATCTATTGGGTGTTTTGCATTGCTATTCCTGGGTTTCTATTCAGGATTTCATGTTTCCATCTGGTTTTAATCAAAGCTTGATCCTTGGCTATTGATATTCATTTTGCTTGTTTTTTGTTCTGTCTGTTTTGTTGTTGGTAGAACTGTTGAGATTTCCTGGCGAATGTTTCGAACCAGTGGTAGCAGAGCTTTGGGATATCACTGTTCAGTGATAACAGAGGGACTTGCCTGATTTTTGTATCTTTCCAAGGAATTTCTCATGCTCCCTTCCGCTAGGAACAGGGCTCAGTCAAGAAGTAGCAGATCCTGGTCCTTTTCAGGTGTGTATGTCGTCTTGTTTGGGGTGATGGAAAAGAAGAATAATCTCTCATACTTTGTTATGTTTGTTGCTAATGGAATTTTATTGGCCAATATCATTGGAGAAGTGGTTTTGTGAGATAGTATTCCAGAGGCCTATCTGTCCACAGTAGTAACTAAAAATTATGGTTATTGGGAAATTATCAACAATGTATTCTGGTGGGATATTGTAAGATTGGTCCCTTGTAAATGAAAAATATGAATATATTTGTGTGAAATGAGTGTTTTTTATGTACAAAGAGATAAATTCTACATATATTCCGTAAATATTTGGAGAATCGTTGTTTCATAGATCACATAGTGTGATATACTGGAACATTTTTTTGCTTTAAGAATGTGGGAAATATTTTGTTTATTCTAGTACATTTCAAAGCCTCTATCAGCTCTTCAATTTGTCGGAATGTTTTTTCTTTTCTTTTTTTTCTTTGGGGTAAATCAATTGGGGAGAAGGCTCCCTTCCCGGTTTTCATTAATAAAAGATAGAAAAAAGGAAAAAGTTTATATAAGGATGCTACCTTATAATGTAGAACTACGGATGCGCCTCAAAAATCCATCCGAAAAGGTAGTTTTAATGTTGAGAAACCCTTTGATTGATCATTTTGACATCGAGATGTATGACTATGAAAATAAAAAGATTTTAAGTGT